CCCGCTTGCCAAGTACTCTAGCACCATATACGATGCCAAATACCTCAAACAGCACTTTCCCCAAAGCTCTCTAGACCAGTGGTTCACAACATGTGGATTGTGAGCCCCTCAACAAACCTCTATCTCTAAATATATTTACTCTACAGTTCCTAACAGTAGCAAAATTACACTTACGAAGTAGTAATGAAAATCATTTTATGGTTGGGGGTCCCCACAACATGAGGAACTGTATAAAGGGTCACAGCATTAGGAAGGTTGAGAACCACTGCTTTAGACCATTATGCTGTGGATGGAGGAGCCATGAGCAGAGAAAAGACAGGCTTCTAATTTATATAACTCTGCAAAAATCTTTGCCCCTCATCCAGCCTCCTCATAGTCATCGCTATATGTCTCAGAATAGAGCCCCTCATTGTAGGAACCTTAGAAATGGGGGGGTGTTCATCAAAACTGAAGTAAGGTAGGCTGAGCACAAGTTCAAGGATGGAGTTGAGAAACTGGTGTTTGCAGCCTGCACTCTGTCATATCCCCATCTTCCTCTTCTCCCAGATACTATCCAGGAGAGAACTGAAAGTGCATGCGTGCTTTTTCATCTCTAGAGAGGACCTAAGTACTAGCCTGCATCCTCTGTTAGTTTAGGTAATGTTTTCTGGACTATTGTCCTTGGCTTTTTCCTCTTGGAGTAGGAAGATCTGCGTAACTTAGGGAGGCATGTCATCTCTTCATGGGCGTGAGGAAGGGGAGGGCCGAAGATGTCTACCTGACATCGTTGGTGCTTAGGTGCCGAGATTGCTCTCCTCAGAAAAGCCTGTTTGCGAAGCTGAACCAGGGCTGAAGTCTAGGAACTCAGACTTCAGGATTGTACTCTTCACCCTCTAAGGGTAAGCACAGCCGGCAGGATTCAAATATTTGTATAAACAACCTCGTTTATGAAGAACGCTGACTTTCCTTTGTGAGTCTAGGATTTTGTAATAAGACAGAGAATGGCTGCATGACCAAATCTCCCCAAAAAGTTTTAGTATAGAGAAATGAGTCTCTAGCAGAAAATTCACATTTCTCAATAATTCGTCAATAGAGGACCCATGCTGAGATTCCAAAGGAAAGGACTCTTGGGACCCAGTGCCTGGCTGTCTTTGGACTTGATCCCCTGTACCTTTCTCTTTTCCAGGCTTCCCTTGTATATTCTCACTGTAAGAAACTATATATACTAAATCTCACAGAACCTTCTAGGAGATCATCATAGCCAGAAATGGCCTTGGAGACTCCTAAAAAGGAGAAGTTTTCAAGTATTCATGGACTGTGGTGGGAGTCACAAGAAGTCTGGACCTTGTCAAAAGGAGACAGGCAATATCAGGACCCATGGGAGATGAGATCTCCCCATAAAGGCAGGCAGGGTGTGTGACCTGGACAGTGGCAAGCACTGTAGAAACTGTCTCAACAAAACAATAGGGGAATGAAACCTGTAAGTAAGGTATAGGATATTTTGTTTTGTCCTGCATTGGAGACTTAACTATTTCCTACTTTTAAAATGTCCAGAGCAGTAGGTGTGGTGGTGCACACTGACAGTCTCAGCAGAGTCCAAGGGCACCCTCTGCTACACCGTGAGTTCCCAGCTGGCCTATGCAACACACCTCCCCCAAAATCAGGTAGCATCATGAATGAACTCAGATGAATTGTTCTCTGCACTTCAGTCTCCTCAGTATATTTACTCTGGCTCCCAGGGAAGCCATAGCTTCTACCTAATGAGAGCAAGCCCTGCTATTGTCAGCACAGATACAGCAGTGTGTGTGCTTGAAAAACGCAAGCCAGGGGACCGAGGGACCAGAGAGGCGACTGCCTCACTTCTGTTTGTCGGTACCATTCCTAGCTCTATTTTGTTTGGTTTCTCCCCCTCCCCCGCCCCATTTTGGTTTAGTTTTTGGAGACATGTTCTTTCTATGTAGCCCTCACTATGTAGAACAGGCCGGTCTCCAACTCATGGAGATGAGCCTGACTCTGGCTCCCAAGTGCTAGGATTAAAGCCATATGTTATCACACTTGGCCCTAGCTCCCTATTTTGCAAATAGTAACTGGATAATAAATTGATATGCATGGGGCTGGAGAGATGGCTCACAGGCCAAGATCACTTGTTCTTCCAGAGAACCCAAGTTCAGATTCTAGTACCTACTTCAAATGACTCACAAATGCCTATAACTCCAGCTCCAGGTCATCTGACACACTCTTCTGGTCTCAAGTACTCATGCACACATAGCATACACCCTCTCTCTGTGTCTCTGCATACATGTATCTCTGTCTCTCTCTCATACAGACATTTTTAAAAAAAGAATGCAAATCAAATGAAAGAAGGACTAAGCAGATGATGGTTCACATTTCTTCCCAGCGTCCCCTGCCTTTTCCTCTCTCTTTATGACTTACTTTGATCTCAGATTTACAAGATGTACTTGTCAATGGGAGAATATGTTCTACTTTAACAAAGAATTGATTTCATTTTAATAGAACAGCGATGTTTATTTGAAACAAGAGCCACATCTGATCCTGTAGGCAAGCAACTCCTTACTTTTTCAATTCACAAAACATTTTTAGACACACCTCATTTGATCCTCATAACAACACTATAAAGTAGATGTGACTTTTTTTTTTTTCATTACAGAGGATCAAATGTAGAGCCTCATGCATGCTAGCCAAATGCCCAACCACAGAGCTCCATCCTCAGTCCAATAAGACAATGGGGCTTTCATCTTCCATGGCATGGAATTCATTGCAATTTGGCTGGCTGGCTAGCTATGGCTTCAGAAAAATGAGGGCTTTATAGGAATGGATAATCCCCGAAATCTCACCACAGAGGAACAGGCTAAAAGGCAAAGTAGGCGTTTGGAGGAATTATTAAGATCACAAATTAAGTCACTTCTATGGACTCCATAGCAGGAAATAGATTTTTAATGAGGAAATTGAAGCTAATATGTAGCAGCTGTCCTGTTACCCACTGACGAGTATTAAGGCAGATTAAATTATTAATGAAAACTGTAGCAGCTTAGAAACTTAACCTCTTCCCCGGCCCCCTTCCTCTCCCTTCTCTGCCGGGTTCAGCACCGCCATTAGAAGCAGTGTACCCGATCACACAGTTTGTGACCACCACTTGCTTTCCTATCAGTAGCTGTGGTGGCCCCCAAGTTGGTGAACCTTGCTTTGCAAATGAAAAACAGAGAGGGCAGCAAAGCCATAGAGTCAGGCAGAGGATCAGAGGAGGCAGGAGAAGCAGGCCTGCGAGGGCTGGCTTGAGGTGGGTGATTCATAAAAGCAGAGATGATTGAAACACGGGAAAAGGAGGGGTCAGCAACCACTTAGTGAACTAATGTCCAGAGTGAGTATTCAGACCATCCGCACCGTGACAGCTATTCAAATTCTTAAAATCCTTGAAGATACTCCCTCAGGTGAGAACGTCCTTGCTGGCCAGAGCACGCTGCATGCATCTACTATCCCAGCTGTCCCGCTTTCTCTCCTAACATGGGACTCTTCATGATCTCACCACTTTCTCCTTTGGGGGACATCACCTGAAGTGTTTACTCTATGGAGTAGCAAGGCGCCTCCAAGAAGATTGCTAGGTGGCTCCTCCCCAAATACCTACTTCCTTGGCAGCCAAACTTCACTTGACCCATAGACTCATGAGCAAAGAATAAAGATTGTTGAGGCTAAGGAGATGTCACATCCTGTCAAGTGCTTGCCGCAAAAGGGTGTGGTGATGTGTGCCTATAATCCCTGTGCTGGGGAGACAGAAAAAGAAGGATCCTTGGGGCTTGCTGGCCAGCTAGAATAGCTGAATCAGCAAGCTCCAGAGTCAACAAGACCATGCCTTAAAAATTAAGGAGGAACTGGAGGCACAAATCAGCAGTTTAGAGTATATACTGCTCTTCCAGAAGACCCAGGTTCGGTTCTCAGCACCGACATCAGACAGCTCACAACTGTCCAGTTCTAAGGGACCCAAAGGTCCTATTTTGGCCTCCACATGCTCCTGTGCCCACACGATGTATATAAATGCACAGAGGCCCCCACACATACACAGAAATAAAAATAAAAAAATATTTAACAAGAAAAAAAATAAATTAAAAATAAGGTAGAAAGTGAGTGAGGAAGACATCTGACACAGGTCTCTGCCCTAAACACACCTGTGCACACACGTAAATAGGTACACACACACACACACACACACACACACACACACATGCAACACATACGGATAAATACATGGAGGGAAAAGAGAGGAGATGAAAGGCTTGTTAACATGGTCCCCCTCAACCTTCCCTGTACTGGGTGCCAGCTGCCCCGAAATGAAGACAAGCAGCTTCCTCCAAGCCCAGACTGAGGTGCTGTGTACTCACATTGGTGTTGCACAGTTTGTACTGCCGATAGGCCCCGATGCAGGAGATTGCTGTAGATCGCAGAGGCTGGGAAAAGGCCTGAGCTGCCCCCTGGGGCCTGGCACCACTGTTACTGCTCAATTCCGGGCTGTGGAAGAGACCTGGAGCTGCAGGATAGCTCTGATCATGAGTCAGGGGCAGCTGGTAGATAGAGGCCTCAGAAGCCGGCAGTCCAGAACGGGGGCCACTGTCACTTTGGTAGAGAGGTCCGTTGTGGGAGAACTGGTGGGCTGGTGGTCTGTATCCCTGCCTAGAAGCAGATGCCTCCTGGGACCTGGAATGCCGGGATGAAGGCCTTTGTCTCCGAAGCCTCTGTGGAGTATGTGTGGTATCCGTCTGCAGCGGTAAGATGTAGGGCGCCTTCCCGTAGCCATACTTGCCAGGGCCGATGGGACCTCGGGTCCTGCTCCTAAAGATAGGCACACAACAAAGACCAACAGAGTCATGTGAATTTGTATACCAACTCAAGAGCTCTGGACCCATGGCCCTGAAGAGACATCATGGAAGCCAGAGCAGAGGCTCCCTAGAGACTAAAGTAGGATGGAGGTAGGAATCAGTGGTCGGATGACCTGCAGATAATGTAAGCGGTTAGACACAAAGTTAGAATCACAAGCTGTGGTCAGTGTAAGTTTGCTGCATCATGAAGCTTGAGCATTTCTACAGGAGCTACTCAGGGTTTCTGAGACCTGTAAACACACAGTTGCAACTTCAGCAACAATTACTTTCCCATTCACTTTCCCCCCTTATAATGTGTTTTGTTTTTTTCTCACTCAGCTGTGTCTAAATTTCTCATGATCTCCATGACCATGCATATCCAAAGAGCTTACTTTCTTGGGGAAGTGGAGCTTAGCCTGAACCATGACATCCCACTACAGTCCTGAGACCTACCTTGCACTGACCTTAAAAGACCAGTGGGTAACAAGCGATTGTCTACCATTCCATGATTCCTGAGGAAACCCATGCTAAGCAATGAGCTGTCCTTGTGCTGGCACGACTCCAGATTTTGTCAAGATGAACTGCCTGCTGAGGCCTTGCAAAAATCGCATGTGCAGTGGATGTGCTCATGAATATTTAACCACTGCATGTCTCCAAGTCAAAAGGCCCTGATTCGAAGCATGTGCCCCTGCCATGGTATAAATACTCCTCCATGTCCAATCTCATGCCACCAGTGGGAAGATACAGTCGGTTCTAACACGCGGGTTAAAAAGCAGCGAAGCTGGGGATGGAGCTCACCAGTAGAGAACATCCTCCACACGCACGAGGCTTGCATTCCATCCCTAGCACCAGTGCTGCAAAGAAAAACCGAGTCTAGTCCAGAACTCAGCTGCCTGTCATTTTAGTCAATTAGCTTTTATTTTTACTTGTGTTGGGGAGGACAGAGGAGGGCACCAGATCCTCAGGAGCCGCAGTCACAGAAGGCTGTAAGCTGCCCGATGTGGGCACTGGGAACGGAACTCAGGTCCTCTGCAAGAAGAGGACCCACTCTCCAGCTCCACACGTGTCAATTTGTTATGCAAACACTGGGGACAAAATGCAGAGCGAGGAATGGAGCAGAAAAACAAAAGGGAACCAGGAACATGTTCCAGGACCCCAACCTCACAACCTAAAACAGCCAGGCAGAATGCAGATGAGGGTACGACCCTTAGAATTAATCTACTTCGCTGTGTCTGGGGGGATTGTGAGGCAACAGGAAACACACATGCCCAAGAGATCTAAGAAGGCATCCTGGTCATCGAGAGGAGATTCACCCGGCGGCATCCACCACTCTGCAGAAGGACTTAAGCAATTCCAGTCTTATTTGAGAAATGACTACACTGGATGAAATGACCGCCAAGGTCGCTCCAACTCTAAAATTATATGCTTCCATAATAATTAATTCTACATTTATGTAAAACTGGAAATGTGCCCAAGGGTTTCTACAGGATGGCCCCATTAAAATAAGCACATTAAAATAGCAATCAAGGTGAAACATTGATTTTTGCCCTCCTGGGGAAATTCTTTCTCCACTCTATATAAGCATGAATATAAAACTTAACAGAGCACAACTAATTATTAACATCTTTATCACTAATTGCACCTCCATTCTTGGCTGATACGGTTTTGAATTAAACTAAGCAGCAGTATTTATTTTACCTTCAGGCATTTCTCAATTAATCTTGGCAACACTTGGGACTCAGTTAATGGTGGAGGCTTTAACAGATGCCATTAAGAAGTTAGTCTTAGCATACATATAGGACTTGGACCCCGTTTGCCTTGTTCTTTCTTGTGGCAGGCCAGGTAAAATGAATGACATCATAGGAAGGCAAAGGAAGGAATTTTGCAGTGTGTATGTTTTTAAGTTCTGAAAATCTACCAAAATTGAAATCCAGCCCCAAAGTAAGTGCTCAGTGGAGACTCTAGCTGAAGGTAATGGAGAAACCCAGACAACCGGGGAGAACATCTCACAGTTGCTGGTGCCGAAGACCTTGTGGGGATGCAGGTTCTGGGGTGCAGAGGTGGCTCACTTGGTAAAGCACTTGCTGTGCAAGCATGAGAAGCTCAGTTGATCCCCCCAGTTCACCCACAAAAAAAGCTGGCTTGCTGGCCAGCCAACCTAGCTGGCCCAGGGAGCCCCAGGTCCATGGAGAGACTTTACTTCAAAATGTAAGGAGGTGAGTGATTAAGTAAGACTCCTAACTTGGACCTCTGGCCTCTTCATGTGAGTGTACACACACCACACACACACACACACACACACACACACACACCACACCACACGGGGGTTGGGAGTGGGGCAGTGCACTTTGGCTTGAGAGGTCTGGGATGGAGCTGGAGACCCTGCATTTCCAGCAATCTCCCAGGGGAGTCCAGAGCTGCTGGTCCACAGACTCAGAGCTTTGAGGAACAAAGTCACGGAACTGAACTGAACTTCCAAACAAAGGGGTCAAAATTCAAGATGAGAAATGATGGGTTTTAGTGAAGAAAAAGGTAGCAATGGCCATGAAGCAAAACCGAATAGCCCTCTGCATCTGTGGCCTACATTAGAGGTCTGCTTGCCTGTGGACAGGCCGCCCTGCGATCACTCACTCAGCACACACTGATGAAGCCTGCTTAATAACACTCATGGGCAGCCGAGAAAGGAGCTGCTGGGATGGATGACTATGGAAACATCTTCCCCAAAGCAGACCCTCACCCCAAAGGGTAAGACACATATACAAACGTCTAGTTTTCTATTCACATCGTCATCGGTTCTGGGGTGGGAGGAGGGGGGAGGGCGCCTCTTCCCAACACTCTAAAACCGTTCAAAATATCCTGGAACCCCCCACCTTTGGAAAGGCAATGATGTGAAAGCATTAAATGGTAGTTCGAGTCTGATAAACAGACTACGATGAGCAAGCAAGTCGGACATGATTGTGAGCAGCTTGATTTCTGAGTCCTTGACTCCTAACATAGGGTAACAGCAATAGAGGGGCTCACAACCTTCTCTAATTCCAATCCCAGGAGATCTGGCCTCCTCAGAAACTGCACACACATAGTGCAGAGATATAAATGTTGGCAAAACATTCATATGCATAAAGTAATTTAATTGAAAATAATAATTAACCACTGAAAACGGTAAAGCACAAATGAATGGCTCCAGTCACTGACACCCAAGGGAAGTAAGCCTCTTATTGCATTTCTTTCATTTCTTTGATATGAAATAGCCAAAAGTCTGAGTAGTGATAAAATATACTAAGATCAAGTGAAATATTGTATTTTATCTAAAGAGTATTAATTAGGAGCTGGAGAGATGGCTCAGTGGTTAAGAGCACCGACTGCTCTTCCAGAAGTCCTGAGTTCAATTCCCAGCAACCACATGGTGGCTCACAACCACCTGTAATGAGACCTGGTGCCCTCTTCTGGCATACAGGCATACATGCAGGCAGAATACTGTATACATAATAAATAAATAAATTTTAAAAAAAAGAGTATTAATTAACTGTGGCCCCAAGGACAAGGCCACTTCCCTCTATGTAAGAATCAAGTGTTCTTTGTTGGGTGGGAAACTTCTCGACACCTAGAGAAGAAATAGGTCCTCGGACTAGGAAGGAAGGTCCAGCAAGAGCTGAGTCACCCCCTCTATTCTCAAAATGAGAGAAAAAAATAGGCTGGACAGGTAGCTTAGTCAGTGAAATAATTGCCTCGCAGGCATGGAGACCCTGGTTAAATCCTCAGAGCCCACATTTCAACAGCCAATGGGGAAGTGAGCTTGTAATCTCAGCACTGGGGAGGCAGAGATGATGGGCAGACCCCTAGGGCTTGTGGACCAGACAGATAGCCTGGCCTATTTGTGAGTTCCAGGCTAGTGAGGAACTCTGTTTAAAAAAAAAGAAAAGAAAAGAAAAGAAAAGAAGAAGGAGGAGGGAGGGAGGGAAGGAAAGAAGGAAGGAAGGAGAAGGGGAGAGGGAGAGAGAGGGGGGAG